TCTTCTAATCTATTCAATTGGTCAATATGTCTGTTTTGTGACATGTCATGCTGTTTTAACTACTGTGGTTTAGTAACATAGCTGGAAGTCTGAGATTGTAATGCCTCCTGTTTTGTTTTTGTTGGCCAGGATTGTTTTGGCTATTTTTCTGGGTCCATATAAATGTTAGAATTTTTTTTTTCTAGTTCTGTGGGGAAAAAAAACTCATGGTATTTTGATAAGGATTGTGTTAAATTTATGTATCATTTGGATACTACTTAGAAGGTGTTAAAAATAACATAAAATATTTTCTGAAAAATACTTATAAATTTATGTTAAGAACTTTATTTTAGGTGTTTCTAAAATTCTTCCCTAACTCAAACATTCTGCAAGCATCAGCCTCTGGCAGGGGGAAAAAAAAAAAACATTCTTTACATATGTCTATGAACTACCTTAGCAATTTTGATAGTAAAATTAAATTTAAAAAAAATACCAGAGTCATACAGGCAAGACCTCAACATTCTTCTTATGCTTTTCAAACACTATAGAAACTCAAAAGAAGATGTTCACATTGTTTTTGCAGATGTAGAGGATGCATAAGACACATAAATATTAAGTTGAAGCATATGAAATTGCCACATCTATAGGTCAAACAAATACAGGTAATTTTGTTATAGCTTCATATAATATCTCTGCTTAACCCTAATAACTTACAGTACTGTCCATTTGATGAGTGGAAACACTCAGGTAGGCCCAATATTATACTTCTTATTTTGTGGTTTCTTCAAAATAATCTCAAAATAACACCATGGATATACTGGAATGGGAACAGCTGGAACTGACATTGCTAGTACTACTCTTGAAACTGCTTGAACCTTAGTACATTTCCCACCATAGCCCAGGGAACAAACAGGCTCAGAGAGGTTTGGTTACAAAATACAGACTTTAGAAGCCATGAATATAGGCTCCGAACTCAGACTCTGACCACAGATAATCTGTCTTCCTGATAAGAAGATATTACTATTATTGTATAACTAGCGTCAACATAGTGCTTAACACAAACCAGGTTCTATGAAACACTCAATAACACTGTAACTGTTACTATCCCCATTTACAAGAGAGGAAACTAAAGCACAGACAGATTTTTAAAAATTGCTTAAAACTATACATCAAGGCAGTGTGAGAACTGGGATTCAAATGCAGACTCAACCACTATACTACATGTACTCAACGTTGAAAGTTATAGGAGAAAAATAATAACACAATGCCTAAATATGTCTGTAGTCTCATGCTCATTTTTTAAACAAGTATTTTTTTATTCTTAGATTATCTATATATTTTTGTATATTTGTTTCAGGTAAAAATTTATAAGGGGCTCTGTATAAAACCTTTAAAATATGCAACATTAAAAAGGAAACTACAAAATAGAAAGGCCTGAGGTTATATAACTCCAGTGATGGAGAACTTGGCTAGCATATGTGAAGCCCTCAGTTCAACCCCAAATAACATCCGAAAAGAGGAGGTGGGATATAGATTTGATTCTCTGGCATGCTCAATAATAATATAATAAAATAGTGTAGAGCAATATGAGGTAAAGAATCAACACTAGCAACAGATAGACTCCATTCATTTTCTACTTCCACACATAAAAGTGAATGCTCAGAAAATACTCAAAAATATTAGAAGTCTATTTAAAAATTCTAGTTTTAAAGAGCACAGAAATAGTGTCAGAAGTACAACATTCATATAAACTGGAACCAAGCTTGTCAGATATGCACTCAAATATTTACGTTCTGACCTTTGACCCTACATATGCCAAAGAAAGCAAAGATAATGATTTATTTAAAAGCTTTAAGTGTCACTATGAGGATAAGCATTTAAATAAAAGAAAAAAAAGAAGGCAAAGAGAATTTTTTGAAAGAGGAAAGAAGATAGGTTTTTAAAAAAAAAAAAAGACCAATCTCCTCTCAGAGAGCATGGTCTATCCACATTAAAAAAGGGATTAAGCAGATACATTCAGCTTTTCTAACAGATTTTCTTTCTCTAAGGCTTCAGTACCCCTCTCACACTCACTCAGATAATCACATTAGTTTTGTCATTAAAAGCTCCCTTTCATAGAATGCACCTAAACCGCTTAAACCACCCAGAGAGGTTGCATACATTATCAAACACCAAGACAAACGGAAGAGATTTTCCATCTTATGTCTTACTATTTCATTTTATCTGCATGCTCAGAAAACTAAGCCAAAATATTTGCTAAGTTATCAACTAAAAAATGATTCCAAAATTTAAAACCTACTATATCCTTTAAAATTTCTCTTTAAACTGAGAAAAGATAGTGATTTTTATGCAGACAGAACAGTCAAATGACAGAGGGGTTTTCTATTTCCCTTTTCTCTTCTTCCTTGTGTTCTACTGGCCAAGTCCATGATTATTTCTGCATGAATGTTGCAGCTTCTATTAGCAGTAAACAAAAGCAAATGGAGTCTGAGTGTGCAAAGCCCAAAGACAAATTAAAAAGACTGATACTTGAATTGACATGGAAAATGGCTGCCCATGGATCCTTCAGAACTGTACGAGGTCCAGGCAGAATTGGAAATCACCTGCTTTTTCTTTTTTTATATAACCTAACTGTTACATATTATCACACCATCCTAAGCCTGAATCACAGACTCAGAAAAGGATGGCTGTTTGTCAGTCCTTTAAAAAGGAGGAAGTGTATCAGAGGGAGGAGGAGTCCTGACTAAATGGAACTATCCAAGTGAAAGAGCGGTCCCCAACTGGGTAGTGTTCCAGGGATTAGTGGGTTGCAAGAACAGAGAAGGGGTCAAGAAAGAGAGAGAATAGACAGTGAAAGAAAGTGATCTGAAGCTAAAAGTTTGGGAGGGAGAAAGAGGAAGACATTGTGGAAAAATTCTGAATATCAGGTGAGCAACTGTAAGAGAAAATTGGAAACAGAGGCAATGAAATTTCCTGAAGCAAGAGACAAGGGAGATTACTTTGAGTGGCTGCAGGCAAGAAATAAGATCATAAATTACTATAAGCCATCAAGAATGCTTAGCGTTAGGCTGGGGGTATAGCTTAGTAATCAAGCACTTGCCTAGCCTGTGTGAGGCCTTGAGTTCCATTCCCAACAGCACCAAAAAACCCAAAAAAGATTTTTAAAATGTGCAAAGAAATACATGAAAAAAGTGGCAGAGGCAGTTCTGAATTTTAAAAAATTGTAATCATGGGGAGAGAGATATATTTTGCCTTAATAATAAACTTTCACTTTATAGATATATAGACATATCAAAGATAAAAGGACTTGCCAAGTAAAAACTAGACAACAAAATTCCAAGTCATTATTTAGTGAAGTAAAGAAGAAAACATTTATTTGCATTTAAGATAACAGCAAAACACCTCAGAAAGAATATGAAATTAATGGGAAGAAAACTAAAGTTAGACTGCTCATTGTTTGAAATTCTGGTAAATCAAGTAACACTAAAATGTTTTATACCTTAGGTTCTTTTTTCTAGAACAGGGTCAGCAAACCACAAACTCCAAGTCAAATGCAGCTACTGCCTGTTGTTATAAATAAAATGCTATTGAACATCCTTATTTGTTCATGGATTATCTTTGGTTGCTTTCATGCTACATAAACTACATGGTTCACAAAGACTAAAATAGAATCCTTTATGACTAAAATTTGCCAATCTTTGTTCAAAATAATAGGGACTTCTCTATATTGTTTTCATCACCTGGTATCACACTTACTCACTGAATGGAAATAAAGATGCAGATGTATTACTCATTTTACATACTGTTAGAGTACACAGGTAAATGTGACATATATGGATCCAGGTTTTCTTATGTGAGAGAGATCTGCTCTTTTCAATAGCGTCCTATCACCAATATCCAATTTAATTCAATGAATACTTACCTTCAGCTTGCTATTACAAAACACTTGGTACATTAAAAAAAATTCTGATAGCAAATAGGTTTTTTTAAATTCAGTTACAAAGTATTAAGCAACATTCAATAGTTCAAAGAAACCATTAATTTTAAAAGTACTTTTGCAATTTGGCTGTCATATTTTATACCCATTCTAGCTATCGAGTCAATTATTTTCAAAGTTACTCATTAAGTTGTCTAGTCTTTGTTTTTAAAACTGAGAAGAAAGTTCTTTACAAAAAATACTTAAAGAAGAGCATATGCAATAAAAAAGAGAACCTTACAATAGTAAAAAGAACCTACAACTAAGCTACTGTGTCTCTACTTCTCAGAGTGTGTCACATCCAATATTTACTTGGTACTCAGCACAACTCTAAGTAACTATTGCTATTTTGTTCTGCAGAGGATGACGTGGAGGCTCAGGGAAGAAGATCACCTTGCCCACAATGATACAGTGTGTAGGTAGCAGCTCTGAGCCAAAACCTCGTAATCAAGTTGGTGCTCATTCCGCCCGCACCACAGGGTGATCACCTTTAATAATGTGTGCAGCGCTCAGAATGCAGTAGTAGCTCACTTAATCATAGTACTATGATAGCAGCTGCCATTTATTAAGCATCAAACATATATTACATAGATCTAAGCTTTGTGGATATTTCACAAAGATTACATGTGTTTCAAAGTGCACAGCTTAAGATTTGGTCTTTTTTTTTTTTTTTTTTTTTTTTTTTGGTACCAGGAATCTAACTCAGGGCCTCATACTTAACAGGCAGGCACTGTGCCGCTGAGCCACATCCCTACCCTGGCCCAGGATCTGGCACATAATAATTATCCCATTCACAGCAACCAATGATCATATTTCTAATTCATACAGTTCTTACAATTGATGCATTTATCTCCATTTGTCAAATGAGAAAAGTTAGGGAACATGTTCAAGTTCACATAATCACAAAGTGACCAAACCCAGCATTCAGTCCAGATGTCACTAGCTGCACAGAATCCCTATGTTGGGATTTCCTCTGACACTGAAAGTCAGAGAAATACATGAAAGATACACTACTAAAACTGATGAGAGGACATTTTCCTATTACCTTGATAGGCCAAGCAGGCAAAGGCTGCATAAAGTTAGACTCATAAGGGTAGTCCGTCATGGCCAGGTTCACCCACGTTTCCAAAATCCACTGTTTGAAATGCTGGACATCATCCAAAGTTAAAGGGTTGCATAAGCGAAGGGTTTTAGTAAGCCACTGCAGGCCACTCCCTGGGAATTACATTGATGATAGAATTACATTGATGATAGTCAGTAGAGGTCTTCACAAGTCATTCATCCTCCCCTTAGTATTCAGAAAATTAAATTTTCTATACCAGGAATGTTTTCATCATTTGATAAAATATTTTTAGAGCAACTGGATGAGCTCATGTTGCCTATTTTCATGGACTGCACCATAATTAGTGTTCTGCATTATTATCCTGCTTTAAGATACTATTGAAATAAACAAATAAAAAGGAATACAGTAGAATAATGAGAATAAACTACAACTAAACAAAATAAACAGATGTATCAAAAATACAGCATTGAACCAAAGACAAGAGGCAAAATAGCACATCTTATGCAATTCAAATTATTTTAAAAATTATTAGTGGTTTAAGGAGTAAGGGTAGTGATTAGCTTAACAAGTGCAGAAATACTGACTTAGAAGCCAGGCATGGTGGCTCATGCCTGTAATCCCAGCACTTGGGAGGCTGAGGCAGGAGGATTGTTGTGAGTTCAAGATCAGCCTGGGCTACAATGTGAGGTCAAGGCCAACCTAAACTGTACGGCAAGACCTTGTCTTAAAAAGACAAAAAGACAAAAAAAAAAAAAATACTGACTTAGAAAGGCATTTAAGGATTTTTCAGACGCTGTATGATTTCTTTTTTGTTTGTTCTGCGGTTTTTGTGTGTGTTAGAAATAACTTTTTTTTTTTTTTTTTTTTTTTTTTTTTTTTTTGAGACAGGGCCTCACAGTGCTACCTAGACTAGCTTCAAACTCATGATGCCCCTGTCTCAGCTTTCTAGATAGGTGGTATTACAAGCATGCACCACCTCACTGGGAGGGTATTCTTTCTTGTCCTGGAACTCATTAAACTAAGTACTCTCTTTGTGAAGATTCATTAAGCTATGCATCACAATTTCTATATTTTTCTACATGTTTTGCTTTAATGAAATATTTCTTCAAAAGTAGAACTGTCCTCCGGTACTGGTAAAAAGGAAAAAGACAAAAAAAAAAAAGTAGAACTGTCGAGCTGAGGCTATAGCTCAGTGGTAGAGTGCTAGCCTGGTCTACACGAGGGCCTGGGCTCAATCCCCAGCACCACAAATAAAAGGAAATGGAAGTGTGAAATTTAACAAAAATGAAATGTAAAAAGAAACAATCACAAATCTACTCTCTTAATAAAGCTTACCTGTGGGGGCTGGAGATTTAGCTCAACAGCATAAGCGCCTGCCTTGTAAGCGGGCAGTCATGAGTTCGATCCCTGGTACTGATAAAAAGGAAAAAGACAAAATAAAAAAATAAAAAAAAATAAAGCTTACTTGTGGTTGCAAGTCGGTTAATAGCATCCCAGGACCTGCGGATGCTCTTTGGACAATTTGGATCACTTTTCCTAAAATCTGTAGTTACAATCTTCATAAATGTATCACAAGGAACTAGATTCTCAAACTGCCAGATTGGAGCAGAAGCTGCAAGAGCTCTAAATAGGAGGGGAAACAACAGAGGAGAAAGGAAAGAATTATATAACTTATTTAACTCAAGTTTTAAAGTTGAGACTGACACTGAACAAAAAGGATGAGGAAAAAAATGTCTATTAATGAGACAGAAACTAGAAATCTTGGTCTAAGGGAAGGGAGTTTTTTAATCCAAAACAAATCTCTAAGATTTTCTCAACAATTGCATCCAGAATAAATGCCCTCACCCAACCACCATATGAGGGTATTTCATCCTGAACCAGGCTGCAAGCATGCCGCCATAAGAGCCCCCGATGGCAATGACAGGTTGGTCTCCAGCTCCTGGGATTGTTGTTTTCAAGTGTCTGATTAACTCTGCAAAATCAGCCAGAGCTTGTTCTGATGTCAGAAAATTCAAGCGTTTGGAATCCTAAAGAAAAATAACAAAGAACATGAGTATAAATGTGCACATAATAGCAGCTTAGGCATAGCATAGGTCCAGAAAAGAGCCTGAGTCAGATCAGCTTATCTCCACACAGAATTTCTAGGCAGTTGAGCTAACATGCCCATTCAAAGCAATTGCTGTGCTGATTTAAACAGCTCAGGAAAGTGACCTTAAGTTTGTGGAAGAACATATTTTTAAAAATAATTTCTATTAAATGCTATTTTCTCAAGACCTTTCATTGAGGTTGTAGAAATAACGGAAACAAAATCTAAGCAACAGCAAATGTGATAGAAAGTAAAACCCAGCATAATAGGCAACTATTAGATTGTAACTTTTGAAAGAGTCTTGGCCCAGACAGGACACTGTAGCCAGTAAAGCCTCAGAGGATACCCAAGGTGCTCCATCTCCCCCACCCCTAGGAATTTACCTATGGCGCCAAAGACCAATGGGCTACCTGTGCATCCCTAATACCCGCTTAGGTTCCACCCCAAAACAAGGCTACTTCTATGCCTCCACTCCACGTGTTCAACGGAGAGATTGCCGACCCCAGGGGGAGATGCTGTGCCCCAGGGGATCGGGGGCATCTCTCCCCACATTCTCAAAATAAAGGTCATTTATATTTCATACTTCTTATCTTTTCAGCCACCACCAGTCCCCCACAGTTCTATCGTATGGTTCCCTGACCAGGAACGGCACACGAGAGACTCCTGGGCCCTCCCAGTTTGAGTCCTCTGCCGTTCAGGACCAGGACCGGACTGCATCCTGCATTAATTCCTCACTTCTACACTCTGGGAGCTGTAAACTTGTCGCTGCCGGTTCGCAAACAAAACCAACCCAATTTACCACAGGTGAGCAACCCCCCAGAGATTGCCGCTGGGCCAGGCTCCAGGCGGGTTTTCTCCCCCTTCCTGTGGGTTCAAGTGACACTCTCATGTCCTTAGATAGCCCAAGGCAGAGTCTTTCTGGGCCAATCTGTGTCCACACTGGGAGATTCTCACATCCTTTGGGTTCAGATGGCCCAAGGCAGAATCTTCCTGGGCCAGCTTATGTCCACACTGAAAGACTCTCACGTCCTTCAGAGGTTTTTAAGTTCTCACGGGCAGAGTTGTTACTAAATCCATATGAAATCCGCTCATATATTGGTGACAGCCAATTAATTATGAGTTTTGGAACCATAAAATACCAATCGGTCTAGAGTAAAAAGTGACGACTTTAAATTTAGTAGACCACGGTCCATTGCCTCATCTGGCTATAACTCTGTGGGCTAGACCCCACACCAGATTTTATCTTGGGGACCACTTCCTGTCCACCCCCAAAAAACCATACCTACCAATGGCTTATCACACTGATGACAAGTTTACAAAACTCTCTATCTTTAAGCCTTTGTTTTGAGAATGTGTCCTTTCCCACCAGCATCCCCATCCCTTTTGTTTCCTCAAAGCCTCCTCCCCTCCCCCCACTCCCACCCCCCCGCAGTGCTCACCGACCCATTCCCCACCAAGACGGGGGGAGGTGCGCCCAAACAGTGTTGAGAGATATGCGTGGCTACTTTAAGCTCTCAAGCACTCCAGCCCAAACAGTGTTGGGAGATACTGCTGCTTCGGGCTTTCACGCCACCCCCCAACTCTGTGCGGTATCTCAACTCTTATGCGGCACTTCAGGTCCGCGTGGGGTTCAGCTCTAATGCCGCGCCCTAATCCATGCGTCCTGCAAGCAGTTCCTCCATGTGGAGGCTCAGCTCCACACCAGTCGGCTACAGGCCATGCCTCCGGGAGCAGCCCCAGCTTCATGCGGTGTCCCAACTCCGCCTCCCAGCTCCACCCCCTGTGTGTCGCCACTGCTGGCACCGCCTCCACCTTGCACGTTTCCGGGGGCAGTCCCAGCCCTGTGCAGGCGCTACATCCCGGCGCTCACCCCACCTTTACTCTGCATGCCCCGCCCCCACGCTGGGCATGCTCTGCCCACACACCAGAACACAAACATAAAGAGCAGCTGGGCAGCTCAGCTCAGAGAAATGCTATTTTTTTTCCTTTGCTGTGAGCCACCAGTGGTGTTCTGTGTTGAATTCGCTGTCTGTGTTGTACTGTGTTGTCACCGATCTCCTGTTTAACAACTAAGGTTAGGGATGATTATGGATTCCTTTTGCTGGGAAACACTGGCTCTTTTCCAGGACAGGGGTTGTGTGATATGTGCAGAGCAACGGGGCCAGCACTGCGGCAGAAGCCAAACTTAAACCTTTTCCCAGCCTATCTGCCTGCCCTGGCTCAGCCCTCCACCAAGCCATAATTAACTATACTCAACTGATATTAAAAAACACTAGCTGATTTCTCTCCTAAATAAAATGGTAAAATTTAATTAAAAATTAATCTAAAAATCAGATGGCGTTAGACATTTTAATAACATAAAGAGATACTTACATATATGACATAACATGTCAGTTCCTAAAATTCTCTGGACCTGTCCTCCTTATGGGAAGACATTAATAAAATTATAAATACCCTGTTGATTATATTTCACTCCTGCATACTTACTTAATTCTACAGATACCTTCTACTGTAGTCCAGATCTCCTCAAAAAAGGCAAAACTTGACCTTCAAACCTCATAGAGACCTTAATATGGCTTTTCATGTTTTCAACAACAGAGATAACAATAACACTTATGACACTTGGAGTTCTGAGACAGGTAAACCGACACAAGGTGGAGCTGCCTGGGCCCCACCATGGACTATGCCTCAAATGCAGCAGAAGACACTGGGCAAGAGAGTGCACCATCCTGGCGTTCCTTTGAGACCTTACCCCAGGGCTACTGGACTGTCCTAGCCACCAGACAGTGGGTAAGCCATCCTATGCTAGCCCTCACAGGAAATGTCAATGCTGCCAGATCCATCGCCAACAGATCTGCTTAAACTTGCTGCTAAAGACTGACGGGGCTCAGGGCCAACAACAGCCCCCTTTATGGGTGTCTGTCTCAGAGTCCAAGTTCCACTAAAAGTCTCAGGTAAGACATTATCTATACTTGTGGACATAGAGGCCATATATACAGAGTTCTTCCTGAGTTTTCAGGCTCCTATAGTAGGTCCTCTATCTCTAGGAGACTATGAGAGTCAACCTATGCCATTTATAAACAGGCCTATTTCGTGACTGCTTCTTCCTAGTCCATCCAGTGGTGCCAAATCTTCCCTCCACTCACTCTACAGTCCTAAATCTTAAAATGCTTTTATTCCCTTGTGTTTATACAGACTGACTTAGACACACTGAGGCCTCAACAGCTTACACCCGTTATCATTACCTCTCCAGTGATATAAGACCACCTCCTTCCTTTCTTACTCACCAGTTTCTCAGACAACCCTGGTCAAGGCTGACATATTTTGTCTTCTCACTTTGTTTATACTTTTTCAGGATACATAAAAGCCTTTCCCACAACCAGGGGAACTGCTGATATACTTGCTAAAGTTCTGTTACAGCAAATCATTCCAAGGACTACAACCAGGTTACAGCAACCCATACCTGATATTCTTGGCAACCTCAACAGTGATCAAAGTTGCTAGATTGCCATTCTGGTTTTGCATCACTCAAGCCCTAGATCTAACCATCCTTTTGCCTACTCATCTCTGCCTTACCAAGGGCTCACAGCCACAACTCTCAGGCTGTCATGTTGTTATCCAATTTGGTTTCTAATTTCTTATTCTTTTTACAGCAGGACTCTTAACAGGATTTACTAAAGGCTCCAACGTCATGCATACCAGAGACAAGCCTTACCTATCTCTCATAACTTCACTCCTCCTAACCCTACACTTATTTTTCAGAATTCTACCTCACCGTGACAATGATCCTACCTCAACATGGTCCTGATATAATGACATATCAAAATCAAAGGCACTTTTTCTTCTACCTCACCTGGGTCCTTAAATATGACAGTTCCATGCCTCCTCATAACATCTTGTCTCTTTGTTTTTCCAGTCTGACATACGTGCATTCACCAGTGAAGTTGTCCTGGCTAAAACACCTGGCACCAGCTTCTACCTGGGCATCAACCATCATCCCGTCAACTCTCCTAGACCCCAGTACAGTGTCCTCTCCCAGCAGGAAGCAATTAAAGAAAGAAATCTTTACCCCTTTTTGTAATAATAATCATAAGACAGGATATGAAAGAGTTTTGGCCCAGACAGGACACTGTAGCCAGTAAAGCCTCAGACAGAACCAAGGAGCTCCATCTCCCCCACCCCTAGGAATTACCTATGGCGCCAAAGACCAATGGGCTACCTGTGCATCCCTAATGCCTCCTTAGGTTCCATCCCAAACCGAGGCTACTTATATGCCTCCATTCCATGTGTTCCATGGAGAGATCACCGATCCCGGGGGGAGATGCCGTGCCCCAGGGGATCGGGGATGTCTCTCCCCACATTCTCAAACTATAGGTCATTTATATTTCATACTTCTTATCTTTTCAGCTGCCGCCAGTCCCCCACAGTTCTATCAACTTTCATTTCAAATTTTGACACTTTAAAATATCCACCATGTAGTCAAAGATAAACTAAATCTTAGGAACAAAAGAGGTAAGGATCACCCGTTTTAAAAAAACTCATCCTTCCCCATCAAAATGATTATATATTATGTTGACCATACCAACAACAGGAACAAGTTAGGCTGCTTATCATAAACAACTATAAAACTGAAAAGGCAAAAACTAAATTTGGGAGCATTGGAAAATAGCTCAAGACAGGGACCCCTGAGCCAAGAAAAATTCATTAAGTCCCAGGAGCACCCAGCTCACTGTCTGAGTGGAATCTCTCTGCAGCCTAGGAAAGTGAAGCTCAGGTGGAGCCCCCTACTGCACAGAGGAGGCCAAGGCGGGTGTGGGGAAGGTATCTCTGTAAGTTCTTGACACCCCTTCCATAAGGTGAAGGATTCCACTCCCTTAAAACTTGGGCTGAACTCAGTGACTCGATTCTAGTGACTAGAATGTGGCAGAAACAATAGTAGGTAACTACCAAAGTTAGTTCACAAGAAAAGCACAGCAGCCTCATTCTGCTCTTGCTCTCTGGTCTGCCAGCTTGGAGGGAAGCGGCTGCCAGGTCATGAAGCCACGCAGAAAGGCCCCTCAGGAAGCCCAGGAGGCGAGGACATGAAGCTTTTTGCTCACTGCCAGCACAAAATTTATCATTCCTGTGATGATCTCCATACACGTGGAGGGGATAATCCAGCTCCAGTCAAGTGTCGGGGGACACAGGAGCCTCTTGAGACCTCAGGAACAGAAGCCCCCTGCTAAGCCACTCCAAATTCTTCACCCAGAGGAACTGTGAGGTAACACATGCTTCTTCTTGGTTTTTAAAAATTTTTTATGAGCATATATTTGCAGTACCTGATGATTACATTCATCCTGAAGAACCCACATGTACATACCAGATTTTAATTTCTTCCTTCCTTCCTACCCACTCCCCTCCATCTCTAGGCCACCTTCTCATTTGCAAAAGCTGTATCTCCCTGCTTGAATTACCTATCTCTTATTTTTATTTAATTTATTTATATTTTGGGTTTCTCACATAAGAGAAACTGCAATATTTAGGCTTGTGTTTATAACTTATTTCACTTAACATTATGATTTCAAAGTGCATCCATTTTCCTGCCAATGACTCAAAATTTATCCTTCTTTATTGCAGATTAGTATTCCGCTGTATATAAATAGCATTTTTTTTATTCGATGGACATATGTAGGCTGTATCCAAGATGCAGATATTAGGAATTGTGCTGCCAACAAATATAGATATGCAGAAGGTTTGAGAACTTGTTACATACCAATAGATTTTTCATGTTTGGATCTCACCACTCCAATTCTCTCCATCATTTTGCACATTACTGAATCACAGTTTCCATCTTTCTTCTTAGCTAAGCATGCCACATACTCCTTCATATTTTCCCTGTCTGAAAGGCATGTTTTCTGATTGCTCACCCCCTCTCTCATCATGTCACTATTCTTTACTTCTTTACTTCCATGAGGCACTATGTATAATTGAGTGTCATTTTTTCCAATTCTTAAACAATATTTGTGACAGCCTTCATATTACTGACAAATCCTGTGAGCCCATAAAGGGAAAGAGCATATGCAAGAGAGCCCTTGGTTCTATTTTGCTAATAGAGCACAAATCATGATCACTTAGAGTTTCATTCTATCTGCAGCAAGCTGCCTGCTTCTCAGTGATTTCGGGACCTGTCAGTTTCTCTAATCTGATCTTGAGATGAATGAGTATGAAACACTTCACTAAAGAATAGAATTTCCCATACGGCCCAACAAATACCAGCAAATCTCTCGCTTTTTATTTATAACACACGGACACCGTTTTCCTCTTTTTAATTTTATTACTATTTATTTTATTTATAGTAAGATAATCAAACCTCTGAGAATTGAGAATGAAAATTTAAAACTCCTTTCAAACTAGACACTCTAAAAAATGGCCCCAGGTTCTTCTGAGAACTCACCAAAAGCATGATAGGTGTAGACTGGTAGTATGCTAAATGACCTTAGGTAGTCCACTAACATTTTTAATGTAACATTTTCTTTCATATAACATCTTAGTTTAATATAATTTGGAAAAATTATTTTTATTAGTATATGTTTGTAGTACATAGTGATTATATACCAATAAAATAACTTTCTATTTTATTTTGAAGAGGGTAAAACAAAACAGAACAAAGCAGATCAGAAGAAAACTATATAAGTGACACAGGTTTCAAAGCAAGAAAACAGTCAACAGTGGCTACCATAATGACTCTTGTTTTCTTCTAAATAGTTGTCTATAAAAATAATTTTTTAAAAAGTGAGTTCTATACTTTATAAAGTGAAATATTAAGTAAATAATATGACAGGTAGCAAGTTACTAGGCCTGGAATCACAAGGATAGAACACAAGTGAGGGTGGTTGAGGAACAAGTGCCTGGCTCAGTAGGTGTGAGCCTGTGGTTCAGCCAGAGCTTCCATAGGAGAGGCAAGGCAGAGGAGCCCTTTGACCCTCACCATATCACAGAGTGGATTTTTCCTTACTTTATTGATTATATTTGATTTCAAAAAAATCTTATGAGACAAAATTTGTGGGCTCATTCTATTTTTTCCAGTAGCAGGCCTAATAATTAAAGTGTTTGTTTTATAACTGTTCCCTGACCTTCTGAAACAAGGGCAAGGCTCTGTGCATCTCTGTAGCCCCAACCAACATTGCCTGCCCAAGACGGGCCTGAACTCTGAGCCCGCCCTGTCCACTCAATCCACGCAGGAAGGAAGCCTGAAGCACAAGTGACTCACATGGATGTTAAAAGGTAAAATGGCTGGGGATAGTGACACATGCCTGTATACTTGGGAGACTGAGGCAGGATTGCCTTGAGGTTCAAAGCCAGTCTGGCTACACAATGAGTTGAAGCACAGCTTGAACTACATAGTGAGACCCTGTTTCAAAAAAAAAAAAAAAGTAAAGTGTTACTGGAAGAAGTACACTTGCCTTGAATGAGTCAGCACCAAAGGGAAGGGATTCTCCATAGTACCGATGTTCAGCAAACACCAACATAGCTTTCAGTTCCTCAGCCACGTCCCACATGAACCCCTAAGAACAGTTTACAAGACAAAAATTGGGATGTGAAAAAAAAAAACACCAAAGCATTTTGCAAAGCAAATGAAATAAATGTTAAACCGAACCAGAAAGAGTTCTCTGAAAAGCTGCACAGCTAAACACTGTATTTGAGTGAGGCAAAAATAAGTCCAGGTTGCTCATCCACTAGTCAGTCATTCAACCCTTATCCTGAACCTCCAGACCTAGAATCAATATTATGTCTCAAGTAGTCTTCAGACCGCACTGTGTGTCAAAACTTCAAGGAAACTCCAAAAGACACCTAAGTTAGTCACCCACTCGTAGGTATTTGCAACATAAAAAGAAAACAGTACACGTAATCATACTAAACTCCCTTGGGGTTTTAAATTAATACTATTTATTGAAAACTAAATAGTAGCTAACAATAGCTAATATTATCTGAGTCATTATGTAAATCAGGCACAGTTCTAAACTCATACATGTGTCAGACACTATTCTAAATTCCTACGCATGAATTCACTGAAACAAGTAAACAGGTGCTTGGATTATCCCCATTATACAAGCAAGAACACTGAGGCACAAGACTTAAAATGAACTTCAAAATTCACATAAGAGCAAGTGGTTCCAGGGTACAATCACCAAATGCTGTTAGGTTGCCTGGTTGAAACGCCTAGGCCTGATCATTCATCATTCACTGAATGTTTTCACTTAGCTCAACTGTGGCCTCAAAATCTTTCTCGACAAAGCATTCCAAGCAACCACATGTGGATTAGATCTAGCATATATCAAAGCTGTCACTCCTAAATGTACCTTGTTGCTTTTTATTAAGTCACCACTCCTAAACAAGAACTAAGAACCTTAAAATGTTTGTGTTTGTTTTGATCAATAAGTGAATGATTAAAAGAACTGCCTGGGAGAAGTAGCTCAGGGGTAGACTGCCTGTCCAATGTGCAAAAAGGTGCTGAGTTCCATCCTCAATACCACAAACAAAAGAAAAGAAAGAGCTACATGCACGTGAGGATGGAGAATTTAACTGACACTTGTGATGGTTCAGGAGCAATGTTCTTTCTAGGACCTACTCATCCCGTGTCACAAAGCACGCCTTTTCCTGCCCCCTCACTCCGCAGTACTGATGACCCTCCTGGGCTACGTGAGGCTCTCTGTGAAGCCACCCTGCTATTTGCCTGCTCATGTTTCTTGCCATGAGACTGTGAGTATCTTAAAGGTAAGAATTATCCTTAAATATATTCAGATCTCTGTGGAGACAGCTTCAGACTTTGAGAGGAAGTAATTTAACTGATCCAGTTCACAGTGTAGTAAGTGATTATCTGCCTGCATCTGTTTCAGAGGTACTATGTTTTAAAAAGAGGTACATTTAATATAGTAATGTTATGTGTCTACAAGTTCCTTAATCTTACATTTTACCTTAATCTTACATTTTACCTTAATCTTATTTAGTCTTTTTAACTCAATGAACTAGATATATTTATTATATCCACTTAACAGATGGGAAAATATAGAAATTTGCCCAAAGTCACACAACAAAGTAGCAAAATCAGAATTCGAAACTTGTCACTTATGGTTAAGTCTTCACTCTTGACCACTATGCTACATTGCCTCTCAAAAAAATGAATGGAAGCGAATGTGCAATTGGAATATTTTAGTAAGGAAGGAAGAGGTGAGACTAGCCAGGCCAGGATCTGCCCCTCCAGGTTCCGTCCCTGGGGGCTCTCTGGAACTGCCCCGGTACTGAGCACGCTTCCTTTCTATCACTCCTCCCGATAGCGACCTGCAGCAGCCTGGGCTCTGCCTCAGCGCCGCGGAGCAGTGTGTGCTGGAGGCAACAACTGCTGCTGCCACAATAAAGAACAGGAAGTGGGAAAGCAGTGGACTGGAGAAGCTGTCCTGAGACCCTGGCGTAAAAGGGAAGTCACACGAGGAAAAGCAACAAGGTGGCTGCGTGGCTTCAGAGAATCAGGGGGCAGGAACTCCGTGAAAAGGAAATCCTGAGTTATCTGTCACTGATCTAAAAGACACAGAGATCCTAGGATCTCATTTCTGAGGGAATTGCTTTATTTTCCACTAATCCTTAACATCCTCAGGAAATACATAATCAGAAACAAGGAATGCAGTAACAGTACAACTGGATTCCTATCTGTAGTGTCAATTCAGTTTAACAAGCATTTACTGAGACCTCCTAAACACCAGGTCACATGCTGGATATTGGCTTTGGAGATAATTCAATTAATCCCTACTTCACAGTAATTCACAGACCAGCTTTTTGGTAGAAAGTTGCCATTTTCTAGGCAGATCATTAACACACTGAAAAGGACACTTTCTTCTTTCTCATGTGTCCTAAATTAAATTTTGTTAATGGATTCAAGTATTATGAAAGGTAATAGAAAAAGCAAGCTACTAAATTATCTAATCTTCACTTTCACAGTACGAGAAAAATGGTAAAACATGGAAGCTAAACCTCACAATTTGCCCATTCCTGTTAGACAGTCAAGTGTGCATATTTTTTATTTGCACTGGCTTTGTTTTGCTTTTAGTTATCTATACACATAACACATATTTATTTACCACCTACTTACATGATTAATATACTCCTGGAATTTGAAAATACAATACTAAATAAACATACAAAGATTCCTACCCTTGAATTTATCTTCCAGAAGCCATAATCAATACAAACTGTATGCAACAGAACTCCTATGCCTGTTTCCATCATATCCTATTTGCTCTAGAAATAAACTGGGATTTACAAAAAGAAATTTTAATTCAATTGTCCAAGAAAAGCATTCGCTTCTTTTCATTTGTAATTCCTTAAAGTTGAATATACAAACTTCTTGAATATCTGAATGTGTTTTTTGGCAAACTGTCTATTCATGTAGTTCTGCTATTTTTCTATTATTAGCAAGTTGGTCTTTTTATAATTTTTTTGAAGAACTTTATAAGTAAGAATTCTAATACTTAGCTTAGCATGGTGGTCACACCTGTAATCCCAATACTCTGGGAGGTTGAGGCAGAAAACTTACAAGTTTGAACTCAGCCTTGGAAACTTAGTAAATTAAATGAGACCCTATCTCAAAAAATTAATTAACTAGTAATTGATTTTAAAAAGTGGAGTGCAAAGGTCTTGAATTCAATCTCTCTACCATTTTAAAAAATAGTACTACTTGGTCATTTTATCCTACAAAACATTTTTTCTAGATAATCATAATAAAAGGCAAATCATATGAGCAAAGGAATTTCAGAAATCTGCACATACCGTGTTATTGCAAAACCAGACAATGTCGCCTTCATTACCAGTGTAGAAAAGTATTGATCCACCATCTTTTTCCCAGTGTTTAGCAGATATTAAGTAACGCTGCTTAAAAGTTTGGAGGTAGTTGAATCCAAAATGATCAACCTATAAAAAAAATACGTTTCAAAGAAAATTAATTAAGTGAGATGAATATGTGAGTAATTAATTTTTCCATTAAATCAACATATATAAAACAGCTAAATAAATTTTTGAACATCATTTGGCAATAGTATTAGTTTTATAAATAGTAATAATGATGTTATTTTGAAATTAATTTCTTCATATGGTTAGAAGAAGCAATGTGTGTTATTGGTAGTTAGGATTTTCAGTGCAAAACAAAAGACAAATTTATAAAATCAACTTGCTACTAAAAACACAACAATGACCCAGTGTGATGGTACATGCCCATAATCTCAACATTTGGGAGACCAAGGCAGAAAGATCACCATGAGTTTCAGACAGCCTGGGCTATACAGCAAAATCTTGTTAAAAAAATGATAATCGTTAGAATTGAATTGGAAATATAACTATGAGCCCATTATTTTTTGCATTTATTTTAAATTAACAAATAAAAATTATATGTTTAAAGCATACAATGTAACAAGTTGATATATATACATATATATATACAATAAAAAGTGGCTAAATTGAACTAATTATTATAAGTATTTCATAGGAATATTTAAAATGTACTTCCTTTTTAAAAAATATTATTTAAGGAGAAAAAAAACAGAAAAAGGGAACAAGTAATACAGAATTTAAAATAAATAAACAGGAAATCACTAGTTAATAGATTACATATTGTCATCTTAGAAATAGTTGTTCAAGTTACAAAATTAAAGCACATAAAGTGGACATTCAAACAGAGAGACGGCAAACAGTTCTGTTCAATGATCCAACAAAAACTCAGTAATATGGTTATCTATTTATACGCTTAAATATACATGCAGTCATATCCTTTAGAGCACTTTCTTTTCCTCTCTTTTTTACAATAACAATTACACATTTTGAGTTTTATTACTCCCACAGTTCTTATTACTTTTTTTTGAAGAGAATAAAATCAAATGTGACATAATAAAACAGAGTCAGTCAAATCAAAAGGATGGACATAGTACATGATGTCAAAACAGAATACAAGGTGATCAACAATGGTTACCATAATGCCTCTTGCTATCTTAAAAAGAATTGCCTACATCATCGGTTATAATAAAATTGAACAAAACAGTAAAAAACAAAACCAATAAAACCGAAACACTGGAGACATTACAGGACTTCAAAGGAAGATAATAGTCAAACCGGAATGGGCATCATAGTGAATCTTACTGTCTTCAAAGTTGTTGCCTATACTCTCAAACTTGGTACTATCAAGCAAAACAGAATAGAGCAAAATCAGTCAATACAAGATGGTGAGAGCAATACAGGTTTCAAATCACGTTAATAAGAAATCAACGTGGGTTACTATAATATATCCTGCTGTTTTTTATTTTTCCCTTAAAAAGATAAAAATAAAAAAATAAATAATAAAAACAGGACATAACAACAAAACAGCACAGGTCAGAACAGAACAATTTAAGCAACATAGTGTTTCACCACAAGATATCCCGACATAAAAGTAGTTACCATAGTGTCTCTTTCCTTGAAATATTTGAGTATAACTTTGTATGCTCTAGCATCAAACACATCAAGACAATGTAAAAACCATTCAAGAGAATGACAGTATTACAGGGTATTTAGACCCACTAACAGAAAACAAACAACGGTTTCTATATTATCTCCTTGTCTATAAAAGTTTTGTTTATATTTTCACATATAATAAAATCCAATAAGATACAATATGTTAAGATCAATGGAGACAGAAGAACAAAACCTTGATGGGAGTTCAAAAACAAGATGATATTAAATCAGCACTAGCTATTACATTGTCTTATTTTCTCCAAAATAGCTGTTCATACCATCACACACAATAAAATCAAACAGCCCAGAATAAAGCCATTACAATTAATGAATGAAAACATTATAAGCCTTCAAAGCAATATAATGGGGAATCATGATTACCACATACTTTTATGTATTATCATTTCTTACACTAGGGAAACTATTCGATATTTATACATGTGGGTTTGATTTATCTCACTTATGAGCATGGTCTCAAGCTGTGAACATTTATGTATAAATATCTCAATGTTATCATTCTTTATAGCTGAGTAGTACTCCATTGTATAAAAATACCACACCTTTTTTATCCATTCTTCAGTTGATGGACACTTAGGTTGTTTCCAAGATCTGGCTATTACAAATTGTGCTGCTACAAACACGGGTGTACATGTATCTCAGTGGTTCAATGCTTTCAGTTCTTCTGGGAATATGCCGAGAAGTGGAATAGCTGGAACAAATGAGACTTCCAATCCCAGCTTTTTGAGAAATCCCCAGACTAACTTCCACAATGGCTGCACCAGTCTACACTCCCACCAACAGTGCAGGAAAGTTCCCTTTATCCCACAGCCTCTCCAGCCTTTGTTCTTGGTGGTTTTCTTGATCCTGGCCATTCTTTCAGGAGTGAGATGCAGTCTCAGTGTGGTTTTAACTTGCATTTCTCTAATGACCAATGATGATGAACATTTTTTTCATGTATTTATTTGCCATTTGTATTTCTTCATCTGAGAAGTGCGTATTCATCTCAGATGTCCATTTTTGGATTGGATCTTTGAATTTTGGGGGTCTAAGATTTTTTACTTCTTTATATGTTTTAGACAAGAGTCCCTTGTCTGAGATCTTTGACCCATTTAGATTTTAATTTAGTACATGGTGATAAACATGGGTCTAGCTTTAGTTTTTGGCAAATGGAGAGCCAGTTTTTCCAGCACCATTTATTAAAGAGACTGTCGTTCTTCCAGTGAACCTGCTTGGCTCCTTTATCAAAGATAAGGTGGTTGAGTGTGTTTGTAGTTGTGGTTGTATCTTCTAATCTATTCCATTGATCTTCAGCTCTATTTTGATTCCAATACCATGTTGATTTTACTACTGTTGCTTTGTGGTATAACTTCAAGTCAGGGATTGTGATGCCTCCTGCCTTGCCTTTGCTGCTTAGAATTGCCTTCACTATTCTAGGTCTCTTTTGTTCCAGATTAATTTTAGGAGTGATTTCTCTAGATCTATAAGGTATGTTGATGATATTTTTATTGGGATTGCATTGAATCTGTAGAACAGTTTGGGGAGAATGGCCATTTTCACAATGTTTGTTCTTCCTACCCATGAACATGGGATGTCTTTCCATTTTCTGAGATCATCTTCAATTTCTTTATTCAGTGTATTGTAATTTTGCTTGTATAGGTCTTTCACTTCTTTCGTAAGAGTAATTCCTAAATATTTCATTTTTTTGCTTGCTAATGTGAAGAGTGTGGTTACTCTTATTTCCCTCTCTGTGATTTTGTTGTTCGTGTATAGGAATGCTATTGATTTCTGAGTATTGATTTTGTATCCAGCTACATTACTGAATTTATTTCTTGTATCTAAGAGTCTTTTAATGGAGTTTATGGGCTCTTCTATGTAGAGTATCATGTCATCTGCAAACAATGATAATTTAACTTCTTCTTTTCCTATCTTTACCCCTTTTATTTCTCTCTCTTGCCTAATTGCCCTGGCTAGTACTTCCAGTACTATATTAAATAGGAGTGGTGATAAAGGACATCCTTGTCTTGTGCCTGATTTTAAAGTAAAGGCTTTCAATTTTTGGCCATTTAGTATGATGCTGGCTGTTGGTTTGTCATAAATGGCCTTTATTATATTGAGGTAAAGACCATCTATTCCAATTTTCTGTAAAGTTCTTATCATGAATGAATGTTGGACCTTATCGAAGGCTTTTTCTGCATCTATAGAAATGATCATGTGATTCTTACTTTTGGCTTTATTGATATGGTGGATTACATTTATTAATTTACGTATGTTGAACCATCCTTGCATTCCTGGGATGAATCCCACTTGGTCATGATGTATAATCTTCTTGATGATTTGCTGCATCCTATTTGTCAATATTTTATTGAGGATTTTTGCATCTGTGTTCATTAGGGAGATCGGTCTATAGTTCTCTTTTTTAGTTGGGTCTTTCTCAGGTTTTGGTAGTAGAGTAATATTTGCTTGCAGGAATGACTTAGGAAGGACTGCTTCCCTTTCAATTTCATTGAATAGTTTGAGGAGTGTCGGCATTAGGTCTTCTTTGTATTTCTTGAAGAACTCTGCAGTGAATCCATCTGGGCCTGGGCTCTTCTTTGTAGGTAAGGACTTAATTACATTTTCAATTTCATTAACAGAGATTGGGTTATTCAACAGTTTTACAACCTCTTGATCTAGCTTTGGTACTTCATATGTTTCTAAGAATCTGTGTATTTCTTCTGTGTTATCAAACGTTTGAGAGTAGAGGTTTTCGAAATAGGTGTTGATGATCTTCTGTATTTCTATTGGGTCTGTAGTAATTTCACCTTTTTCATTTCTTATTGCATGAATTTGAGCTTTTTCTTCCCTTTTTTTAATAAGGTTGGCTAGGGGCTTATCAATTTTATTTATTCTTTCTAAGAACCAACTCTTTGATTCGTTGATTCTTTGGATTGTTTTCTTAGTCTCCATTGCATTGATTTCTGCTCTGATTTTTAGAATTTCCTCCCTTCTTTTGGCTTTGGGCTTTACTTGCTCTTCTTTTTCTAGCTGTGTGAGGTGTAGCATCAAGTTATTTATTTGTATTCGTTCTGATTTCCTGATGTGGGAACTCAGTGCAATAAATTTTCCTCTGAAGACGGCTTTCATTGCATCCCACAAATTCCGGTAAGTTGTATCTGCATTTTCATTTTCTTTTAGGTGTTGTTTAATTTCTTCTTTAATTTCTTCTTTGACCCACTAATTACTCAACAGTGTGTTATTCAGTTTCCATGTGTTTGTGGGATTTTTGCAATATCTTTTATCATTAATTTCTAATTTCAGAGCGCTATGATCCGATAACATGCAAGGGATGATTTCAACTCTTTTGCATTTGTTTAAATATGTTCTGTGAGCTAATATATGGTCTATTTTAGAGAATGATCCATGTACTGCTGAGAAGAATGTGTATTCTGATG